CCCCTCGCAGTCTCTTTTTAACGAAATGGTTGATTACATGGATATGGCAGTTATTACGATCTCTTTTTTCTCATTCTTTTATTATTGCACTTTAAATAAAAACACGCTATTTAAATTAAAAGGAAAAGCAATGCGAGGTAGACGCAAACAAATATTTTTCAATTAAATGAATTATACGCAGGAGACTTGTGCATGTATTTTTCGCGTGTGTTATGCAGCGAGCGAGCCGAGAGGATGCGTAAAGCATTTCAAATTTATCTTAAAATATTCCTGAACATATTTGAGGAACCTGAGCCCTCCAATTCCCATGATACCTATATCCTCCGCCCGCGCGAAGTTCCCCGCGTTTATTTTCGTACACCTTCCTTTAAGCTTTTTCGTCAATATGACAAGCATTCTCGTTAAACTTCGTAAAATATGTGGTACAAAATATGTGAATATCGAGTGTGCAACATTCAACGGGGGACTTATCGGGGAATTGCATAATTATGGAGATTGTATTGAAAAAAAAAAAACAAAAAATATATGTATATATAAATGCCGGCACTGAGCGCCACGTTCTACGGGCCGCGTTTCGTATTCTCTTAATCTCCGGAAAAATAAACTTTTTCCATCCATTGTCGTTGCGAGCAACTTCCGGATGTTCTAACATTGGAAAAGCAAGGGAAATATTCAAGAGTGCTCGCGCATTGCACACTGAAATGTGTCTGGAGCATTCGCCTCTCTTCTCTTTATTCTTCCTCGCCGCTTTAATAAAAGTATTTTTGCCGAAGTCTTCCGCCACGAATCAATTCAAGAAAATCCAATCGGGGATTCGTGTTCCGATGCGTTCATGCCTGGATCTCGGATATCCCATTCTTCTTGCACTTCACGATTCCTCGGTAATACATGCGACGTCGTCGTCTGCATGTCTGGACATGGTTGTCATCTTTTTATTTATTGAAAGATTCAAGCTTGAAAATACAGGAGGATATATCGTTTGTCGAGTTGCAAATAATTGCGTAATGTTTTGTTAAATTCACAAACATAAATGTTCACGGGCAAAATCCGTGGGCTTTCCCGAAATTTGATGCGAGTCTCGCGAGAGATACCCTATCGAAATTCTATACAAAATGTAAATGATCTGTCGAAATTCACGTTGAAAACCAGAGGCGCAAACAACTCTAATTCCTTTATAATTAAAATATTTTTTTTGTACCACCGTTATAGCTAACGTTTTCACATTGCATATTTCTCCAAAGAATATTTCAAATCTTTATATATGGTTTAAAAACAAATTTATAGGATAGATACTGCAATTAAGAAGCAACTATTTAATTATTATGTATAACGCGATACAAGTCGCATGGAGTACGTGTTATTTTCGTGCCAGACTCCATCTCATTTCGATTAATTAGATGAGAGAGTGCGGGAATTTCGACATACCTACAACTTCGAGGTACGTCGTGTCCCTCGGGGACTAGCGGCCAAAGTGCTACGGGGATTTAAGGGTTTAATGTCGCATTCACGTACGATGTAATTCCGCGCAGCTGGAGGCGTGCGGCCGACTTCTGTGCTGCGTGCAGAGGCTCTGCAGAAGCGGAAGTGCAACCGACGAGCCCGCCGAGCATCGGATCAACGCTCGCGGACGGCGAGGAGCAAAAGCCGAGCCCGAGCTGGTGGAGGGTCAGGGTCCCTCGGGCCCGGAGGATGGAATGCTCGCTATGCCCGTCAGCCCGAGCCCCGCGTCCACCTCGTCGCAGGAGGACGCCTGCAAACCGCCGCCGCGCAACTGCTACCGTCTCGTCATGCTCGGCAGTGCCCGGGTCGGAAAGACCGCCATTGTAGCACGGTAAACGCCCGAAATCGGCAAACCGCGGCATTCACAACGCTTCAAAGCGCGCGCTCTTCCCTCCATTATTTACCAATTATTTCACTCATCGATTTTACCCGATTCTCTATTATAGCGTCTTTTCGTCGTAATTATTGTTTTCTGTAAATATACACAGTAAAAGACGTTTTGTATTTATGTTAGAAACCACTCAAGTTCTCCGTTAAAATTTTGTGTTGACATTTTTAACATATTTGAGTGATGATTTAATATAATGTGATTATGTTGTTTAAATATTTTGTGTTAAATTGATATTCAAAATTTCTTAGTATCAAAATAGCACAATTTATGAGTAAACAAACAACATAAAATGTGTTTTGAAACGTTAATTGTAACATAAATAAAATACATGTTAATTTGACATATCATAAATTTTATTGAAAAAAATGTGCTTTTACTGCTTACAAATTATGTCAGTGTTACATTTTTTGTGCCCATTTTTTAATATAATATTTGTGTTACTTTCTAACATATTCATCTTATGTTAAATTTTAAGTGAACCGTTTGAGACGTGTGAAATGTGTTAAATATAACACAAATTTTCCAACAGTGCACGATACTACATTATTTCTTTACATTTATTAAATTTAGTTATACACATCACCCAAATTTAATTTGTACAGATAGAAACTGGGTACAGAAATTTTGATCCCTTTGCTTTATTTATCTTCAACTTTTATTTGGGCTCAACTTTCCCATTAGAATCTTTGCCGATCCGATACACCTTCCTCCGCGGTGCGCGTCCTGTTTTAATATTCCTCACGCCTCCCCACGTACCGTTCGGTCTCCCTAAATTCTCTCCGTCGTGCTCTCTTTCACAGATCGATTACTAATAGTGCGAAACAATGTCATTCAATTAATCTTTGAACCGTACTGCCGGCCCACCATTACGCCGCCGTATTATTGTGTTTTCTATTGTTACGTAACCTGCCATCGTGCGATAGGATATCGAAAAAAACGTGGCCGCCGCCGCCGCCGCCGCCGCCGTCGCCGCCACGTGTTCCCGCGGGGAACAAAAACGTAATCCCTCCCGAAATTGGATCGATCTGTTAAAATTGCGACCTAATCATATTTCTTTCCCCCGTCGTCAAATAAAACCAGAGAGTTGCGGACGCGAGTTATTAAGGAGACGATAAAATCCCTCCGCGCCGCGCTGCCCCGATATTGCGCGTCGATTAACGTGGTGGTTTCCTGTCGAAATGACGAAAATTCGCGGTGCTACGCGACGCGACGCGAAGTTATGTCGACTATCCTAAATTGACCGCAATTACGTGAGCCCGCCCCTTTTCCCCTGCATGCTAAGCGAATTTTTTGCCAATGCGTGCGTAGATAGCGATCGCTAACGAGCCCATTTCAAAAATCGTGGCAGACGCTTATTCTCTCGTCCACAAACGTGACTCTTCAAACACTCGGTGCTACGATTACATAATTCCGTGTTTACCGTTCCCATTCGTCGAGCCCGTATCTATTTGGCAAACTTTTATTTACATAATTAAATTCTGGAGATGCTCTTTAAACCTTTCTTTTTTAAATTGTCTGTGATACACAGTAAAAAATATGTTGTATTTATGTATAGAAACGGTCCACTTGTTTGTTAAAATTTTGTGTTGACATTTTTAACATATTCGAGTGTTAATTTAACATAATGTGATTATGTTATTTAAATATCTTGTATTAATTTGATATTCAATATTTCTTAATGTCAAAATAACACAATTCATGAGTAAATGAACAAATAACGTAAAAATAATGTATTTTAAAACGTAAATTCTAAACATACGTGAATAAAATTTAACATACCATAAATGTTAATTTTATTGGAAAAACATGCTTCCACAGTTTGCTTAAAAATTGTGCCAGTGTTACATTTTTTGTGTTAATTTTTTAACATAATATTTGTGTTACTTCCTAATATATTCATCTTATGTTAAATTAACACAAAAATTTAAGTGGACCGTTTGGGACATGTGAAATGTGTTAAATGTGACACAAATTTTCCAACAGTGTACGTACACTCTTAATCATGTATCGCCTATTATCTCCAAATTCGAGGTATTTTATATTTTTTTTTGAACATGGAAATGACATTTCGAGTTACACACCAAAAGGAGGTATTTTTCGTACATTAGCACGAGATACAGAATACAAAGTAATAATTTTGGCGATACAATTGGAGGTACTGCTCTCCTGCTGTTTCTGCATTCTGGAGGTACTGCATCTGAATTCGCGATACTTTTCTTTTGGAGGTACAAAGCTCCGAGTTCGTACCTCGTGTACATAATACGAGGTACAAAATTTTGCGTACCTCGTGTATATAATACGAGGTACAAAGTATTGCGTATGTACCTCGTATTTATAAATACGAGGTATTCAGCGGTAAAAATGTACCGCCAGTGTTTGGCAAGTCCTTGATCAAATGACAAGACAATTGATTAAAAGAGATTTCGTGTACCTCCAATTTTTGGCGGTACATATTTAAGGGATATACTTATGTCCCTCGTAATTACGTAGGGTTTATATTTCAACGTGTACCTTCAATTTTTAGCGATACATGATTAAGAGTGATAGAATTATCAAATTCTATGTCATTCTATTCCATTTAAATAAATTAAATTCTATTCTATTAATCGACATGTGAAAGATTTTTGGAAACGGCATTAAAATTTAAAACTCGAAAGACGAAAGAGAAATTACAAAAGAAAAGACGAAGATCAAAATAATGAAGCGTCCACGCGGATAAAAATCGTTGCCACGTCGGTCACGTTTCAGATTTCTGTTCAACAAATTCGAGGAGAGTTACACGCCGACGATAGAAGACTTTCACAGGAAACTCTACAGGATCAGAGGCGAGGTTCATCAGCTTGATCTCCTAGATACAAGCGGTAACCATCCGTTTCCGGCGATGCGACGATTGTCCTTCCTGACGGGTAAGTCCATCGGCTCGCCTCTCCCCGGAGAAATGCGCCGCTCCGCGTTTCAAGTAGACATCGCCATTCAAGATACCGCGACGAAAAGGGGGAAAAAAAGGAAAGTACATTCGCGCGCATTTCCATTGAATATAAAAATTTAATTTCTCGGCAGCGACATCCCGTTTTTTATCGCGGCGAAAACTCGCGATTCGAGCTGGAATTAATGGATATTTGACTCTTGTACGAGCAGATAAAAAATTGCGCGTGACGTGTTGCAAATGCACCGCGGTGCATTTTATATGAGAGCATGTTAGACCGCGGTGGATATAGATGGAAAAAAAAAAGAGTCGTAAAGGTACTGAAGCTTTTTTTCTCCACCGGTGAATATAGTTTCGTAAATCTTTAAGCGTTCTTTCGAGAGAACTGCGCTGCAGTCGGTACGTTACGAAACGGCGCTCGTCTAAAGATTAACATCGTGCTTTTATCCTAATATCCTCCTTTCGAAACTCTCTTCGACACGGCGGAGAAAAAAAAACGGTCCGGAACCATGTCGATACTGCGCGCTGCGGCGAGAAAAGCGAGCGTTTCTGTTGTCGGATTCGCGTTTCGCGAGAGTTTCAGCGACTTTCGGCGAAATCTCACATCCTCGACAACGATACTGTATGTTCTGGCATGGGGGAAAGTTTGCGGGAGACTGCCCGGGGTGAGTGTCGACTGTTACCGGAATTTCAACGATGTTCGAATACGAAATTACACGAAGTATTATATATCACGTGGTTTCAATTAATTTCGCAAAATGTCTAAGCGAGAATTGCACGTCCGACGTTTACGGTAAAAAAATCCAATTTCCCAACAGATTAAAGAGTTAAATGGTCGAAATTGAATCCACAAAGACAAAAAAAAAAAGCAGCTGCTTCAATCGTTTATCTCGTCTGTTTACGTCTTCTTTGTGTCGCGTTCTGTTTAAAGTATTTTGTTAAAGGGTCGTTTAAAGTATACTTTGCCAAAAGTTAGTTTTAAAAATTATTTCATTAGAGAACTGAATGACGGAGAATAGCGTTGCGTTTTTCGAATCACAACTCTTTTCTTTTCTCCTCGATTATTTTCCACTTTCCTCATTTCGATAACAGTATAATGTAAACTGACATTGGCGACAACCTCAGTGTCTACTTTGTCTATTCGGGGCTCCGTTAATTGGCGCTGTCTGTAATACGGTATGTATAATCCCCTAAGTACTAAGATTGATTGCATTTCGCCTGTATATTAGAGTGACAGTAGGTATTACACCGCAAGCCAATCACCGTCTGCACAATATTCAATGTGTTAAACGAAAATGGGATATTCAACGAGTCGGGGACCGTGGAATGAGGGATGGGGCGGTGATAAGTTGCCAATATACCTCTATCGAAAGAACCCGTTGTGCTCGTGAAAACGTATGACGGGCAGGAAGGGGTGGGGAGTGGCGGGGAGGAAAGGGGGGTACGTTTACTCGATAACTCAATTTCGCCCACTTTCCCTTTTCTTCGCCACCCGGTAGCCTTGCCCCTGCGGCAACACACGAGACCGTTTTGTGCTCCGCTGATTTTGCACGTAGTAGACCCAGCTCGTCCCTCGTCCCTCGTCGAGTCGCGTTGCCACCTGTACCCGATAACCTGATATCGCACCACGCTGTCGGATGCGCGATACAATTGCATTACAGTAACGCGGTATTATTGCCAAGACACAGAGGCCCTGCCACCTGAAAATACATATTTACGTGCTTGGACACATGTACATATACAGAGTGTCCCGAAATTCGCGAAAATATAGTAAGAAAGTCTTCGAAAAATTAAGTAAAAAAGTTATTTGTAAATTTTTAATTTAAGCAGTAGTTGTTGAGATATAAGAGTTTAAATTTAGCCAATTATATAGATTACGATTAAACGGAAACACGTTCATGAGCGCGTCGTAGGGTTAATGGTCGCGCACTTCACGCGAGTAGGTACTAATCTATAATTGGCGAAATTAAAACCCTTATATCTCAAGAACTATTGCTTAGAATAAAAATTTACAAATAACTTTTTTACTTAATTTTTCGAAGACATTCTTGCCATGACATTTTGATTCGCGAATTTTTGGACATCCTGTATACAAACGTCACGTTGACCGCGAAACGTAATCTAAGTTATGATCTATGCATAGTGTGTGCAATTCCCAAAACGACACTATCCGGCAAGACAATTGTAAATTACTGGACAACTTGGCGCGCTCATCTGGGACAAAAAAATCGAGTCTGCATTTAAAAATTTTAATAAGTGTGTTAAATGCACCAAAAGTTTCCTAGTTCCTTTGATTTTATTATATTGCTAGTCGCATTCGCACGCTCGCTAAGAGTGAGTCAGTGGAATCATCACTGATTTTCAGTACACTCACAACTGCGATAAACAGTGATTGATTTCAATATCGTTTCAGTGATAATGTACTCATTCAAACAATGAATACCTATCATTGAAAGACAGTGAATTTCAGTTCTCAATACCATTTGACAGTGAAATTCACTGCCTTTCAATGATATTCATTGTTTGAATCAGTATATTATCATTCTGAAACAATATTGAAATCACTCCCCAGCAAACACCGAATATAACTGACAATGAGATGTAACATAGATGTTAAATAAGTATATTTACGTATATTTTATATAGCAGATACATCTGCGTTTGGGTTACCGTTTATCACAGTTGTACCCTGAAAATCAGTGATGATTCCGCTGAATCACTTTTAGAAGGCAGCAAGATTCGTCTGGCAATTTTATTTTGAAAAACGTTCACGCAAAAATATTTTATGCGACAGAGAAGAGATATTTAATAATTTCATATAAACCTGTAAAAAAAAACATGTTTTAATAATACTCCTCGAAATTTACGCGATCCAAAAGTTTCAGTGGCAGCAGTTTGCTCCGGGGATCTCGCCGCCCCGATTCGCTGTTTTAAGCGGAGTTGCACAAATTGCATCGGACAGAGCCGATACTCGCCTCTCAGTTATTGCACTACATGCACACGTCGCGCCGCGCCGCCGGGGAAACGGCGATGTATCGTCGCGTCGTGTTGCCAGTGAAGTTCACCTCACGTAGGTGCGCACGGTAAAATTAGACACGTAAATCCGAAGAATTTTTAAATTGCCGTCCCGCGTGTGCGGAAATCAAGAGAGCCAGCGTCGATGGGAATTTCATCGCGGCGCGTTTAGTTTTGTATTCCGCCCAGAGCGCGCGGGCTCCGTGCCGTCGGAAATTCCGCGCATTCGACGGAACGAGTCACGGCTTCGCCGTTTTCCGCTCCACCCCTCCTCCTCCTCGCATTTTTCTCTCGACGGGCTCCACCGAGATCTCTTAATAATTCATAGACTCGTCGGCCGATTGCCGAAAACATTTCGCGCGGCATAACAATGCTCGCTCCGCGAGCGGGCGTTCGCGCTTCTTTTTTCACGTGACCGTCGCATACATCAGTGACGTTCACGTAAAAAAATCTGTTTCTCTCATGTGCGTGATTATAAATTCATATTCGCACTTGTTTCTCGATTTTCCTGCCGTTTGTGACGTTACGGTGAATAATGTGTACAATAAAAAGAGACGTCGTCACTTTTTTGCGAACGCGATCACCTCGCCTGTAGCCTTAAAAGATCGACACGACGCGTCGCGAGCGCGAAGAAAAAAAAAAGGTTTCCGCGAGCCGCGAATGCGTTGTCGGAATACGCTTGAATACGGGAGGAACGCGATATGACCCCGATTCGAAGACAATGAGTCTCCCCCGGACGGGGCGCTCTCCGCTGTTGCGAGAAGAGAGAGAGAGAGAGAGAGAGAGAGACAGAGAGAGAGAGAGAGAGAATTCCTTTCGACACGAAACCAAAGACGCGAACTTCGCGGCATAATGGCTGACATACATATATTTTCATCTCGCGGCCGCGGGATGAAATCGCCCCTGCCTGGGCGTGTTTCGCCGGGGAATAAGATGGTCTCGCGGCGCTCCGCATGTAGAGTAGCCACGAAGGGACGAGATTTTCGAAATACGAAGGTCGGATCTCTCTCTTTCCTAAGAAGTTCTCCTCGGCGATACCTAAGCGCGGAAGGAACTAATTGTAAATGAATTAGACCGGGTGAACTAAATTGGACCTTTGAAATTTTGAAATTATATTTGTGAGGAAAATAAACTTTGTTACGGATTTTCGGACAAGCGGTATCTCTATACTCTTAATCATGTATCGCCTAGTACCTTTAAATTTGAGGTATTATATTTTTTTGAACATGGAATTGACATTTCGAGTTACACACTAAAAGGAGGTATTTTTCACGGTACATTAGCACGAGGTACGGAATATACGAGGTAATAATAAATTTGGCGATACAATTGGTGGTACTGCATCTAAATTCGCGATACTTTTCTTTTGGAGGTACAAGACTCCGGGTTCGTACCTCGTGTACATAATACGAGGTATAAAACTTTGCGTATGTATCTCATGTATATAATACAAGGTACAAAATTCTGCGTATTTATAAATACGAGGTACTCAGCGGTAAAAATATACCGCCAGTGTTTGGCAAGTCCTTGATCAAATGACAAGACGATTGATTAAAAGATTCCGTGTATACCTCCAATTTTTGCGGTACGTACACTTAAGGGATATACTTACGTCCCTCAATTTGTTAATTAACATTTAATTACGTAGGGTTTATATTTCAAAGTGTAACTCTAATTTTTGGCGATACATGATTAAGAGTGATAAGCGAACTCACGAATATATCTCGTGAGGTTTAATTAAATTTTACATGTTTAACTGTGCGCCGCGGCGAGTGTTTACAATTTTCGTGAGTCAATTATGTAATATAGATATATATCTTGATAGAAAAAAAAGAGAAGTCGCGAAGTTCACACGCGAGACTGACATATATCTTTTTGTGTCACCAGATCGATAATTAGAGGGATATATACGTACGAATTTGTACATTTCAAGCTATACGCTGCCGCGCTTCGCGCAAAATTAATATAAGAAGAATAAAAGTGACGAAATTATTAATGGCGTATAATGATGTATAATAATTATTATACATCGTCAATTAGTAATTATAATTACTAAATGCATAATAATAATAATATGTTAATAATAACGATAATGATAAATTCCTGATGCGGCGAAACGAGAATGAGCCGTGTGTGGTCTCTTTAGGCTCTGTTAGGCACCATTAACGCACATTTAACGGCAACGTTTATTATTATATGCGACACTTAGCGGCATCTTTTAGCGAGAGGATACGCGATAATAAAACCAAGTGGAGCGGCGTGTTGGCAAAGCGACGTTATTACCGTGCTTATGTTCTATACGCTCGACTCGCGCCGAGTTTCCCATTGGACGAGCCTTTTTGTCCGTCCACGAGAACAGCCGGTTGATCCTACTCGCCCTTTTGTTCGCGGCGCGTTTTTGTCGGAAACACAAGCGAGTAACACAACGGCGCACATAGGACACGAGACCCCGGAATCATTACGCTATATACTCTCTCTCTCTCTCTTTCTCTCTCTTTCTCTCTTTTTCTGCCATGTCGTCAGGGTGCGGATTTATACACGTACGGGCCGCGCCTCCGTCATGGAAATAAATCCGTCAGGATAAATATTCATAATCCGTATAGCACACGCGTGTGTGTCGCGCATGTGACTCGCGTGACCGTTATAATTAGTCCGTATGCAATGGCGTGTAGCGGAGTTCCGTCCGCGGTGCGGAATAATTGCAACCGATGTCGCATAATAGGGGGCGAGAAATGGGCGTGTGAGCGAGCGAGCGAGCGAGAGCGAGAGCGAGAGCGAGAGAAAGGAGAGAAAGGGTCGAAAATTTGAAATCGTGCTGGCGCGCGCACACGTGCCGCGGAAAAACCGTTTACGTAAACTCGCCCGAGAAAAATATGTACTTTAATTCGTTCGACGCGTGTGTTTATTCGTGACGTTAATATTCAACAATTCAGCGTTTTGAGGATAAATACACCGCGCGATCGAGAATACAACGACCCAGGAACAAACCTGCAGTATCGAGACATCGATAAACCGATTTCCGCAGGGGACCTCTTCGTCGTGGTGTTCAGCATGGACTGTCGAGAGTCCTTCGAGGAGGCCATCAGGCTGAGAGAGGCGATTCTCGAGACTAAGGTGAGCGCGACCCAAAGTGCCACGAAGAGCAGGAGGGCTCACTACAGTCTGAAGGTCCCTATGGTCATCGTGGGGAACAAATGTGATAAAGATGTAAAGTACGTTTCCTTTTTTGCTCTTGATCCCTTGATCCCCGAAACAACCCCGGAGCCTTTGTACGTCTTTGACGTTCATTTCTATCAATTTAGATTCCCAGGTAGCGAACTGACTGTTATTTCTTGTCATTTCGACGAAAAATGGCGGCAAAGTCACAAAAAAATGACCGCCAAGCGATGACAAATGACATCCGCTTGCTATACCTGGGTCAACTTTAATCTCGGCTTGACTTATACTCTTTATCTTTTTCTAATTTCTAGAACTATAGAGAAAGATAAGGAGTAAGTTAAACCTGCGAAGGTTAAAGCTAATCTACATTAGTAGAAGGGTGAAGGTGAACCATGGGTCACATAATTATTTTACTGATAAGAGTCTCCCGCCTTCGCTGCAGAACGGTCACGGTGGAGGAGGCCGAGCAATACTGCGTGAGCCAGGACGAGTGCTGCATTTTCGTGGAGGCCTCCGCGAAGCGGAACTATCACGTGGACGAACTTTTTTATCAGCTATTCGTAGTGGCCGGTCTACCGCTCGAGATGGCTCCGAATCATCATAGAAAAGTACCGCTCACCTTTGGCTCGCCGACAATGTTACCGCCGTCGCAGGTACGGTAATAATATCTTCATAGTATTAGCGTTCAACGGAGTGTAAAGTATAATAAAACTCATTGCAGTGCAACTTTCTCGAAATTGATCAGTCGTTTCTGTAATTGAAATCCGATCGCGGAAAATCCGATTAGAGCCCGACAAAGAGTGGAACGACGGCGATGTTGTTCCGTCCCGGAGTCGCATCGCGATCGATTAAACGAGGGATTACCTATCGCGATCGGTCGAGGGACCGATATCGGCTCTCCGAAAAAGGCCTCTGAAAAGCGTATACAGCGCTTTTGTTTTTTTTTTTTCCAGCCGCGACACAAAGCCACCCTCAGTATAAAGCGCCGGCTGAGCGACGCTTGCGGCGTCGTGGCGCCGAACGTGCGCCGTCCCAGCATAAGGACGGACCTGATGATCATGCGGACGAAGACGTGCTCGCTCGCGGCCGGGAACGAGAACAATACGCCAGGATCCAGGATCACGCTTAGAACGGGAAGAACGGAGTCCAGGAAGGCCTGCTCGATACAGTGATACATTGCAAACTGATTCTCACACGCGCACGCGGACAAAAATCTCTGGAAATATGATAACGCGTTTGAGTGCGATCTTCGGAAACGAGTGTTATTGTTTGTCATCATAACACACATTCGTAGCTTTGATTGTTGCAATTTTACTGTACGATCGCACGAGGTATTTTTATACGATCGTATTCTCCGCTGATATTAAATTGTTACTTATAATTGATATGTTCGCTATCGCTTATTTAAAATCTTTAATAAAGTTATTTCTTTTTATACTACATAATATGTAGCGTCTTCAGCGAGACGAGAAAAATAGGGATAACTAAATTTGTCCAAACGGAAACCTTACACCTACTGTAAATAGTGTGAATCACGCGGTCGAAACTTCCAGGTTTACAATTGTCAGACTTCACCGCGAAGACGGAGCGAAGCGAGTAACTCGCGAACGAAGATCGCCAAGGGGAAATCATATTTAAACCGACCACGCTACTCGCCTTAATTAATTAATGGAATATAGCTTTAGCGTAATGTCCCGAAGGTAACATGTATAATTAACTTAAGATGCGACCGAGCGAGAGAAAGAGAGAGAGAGAGAGGGAGAGAGAATGTATGTGTGTGTATGAGAGAGAGAGAGAAAGAGAGAGAGGTAAGCCGTTACGTTAATTAATCGTTGTCGATCAAACGTTAAACGGGAAATCGATACCTCGACTAAACACGAGGGCGGAGATCGTTTGACATTCGATCAAAGGGGGAAAGGGGGGCTCTCCGGTAGCAGCGAGAGCGATGCTAATCGCACGAGAACGGCAGCGTTCATGTAATTCCTCTTGTAACAAATTTTTATCGAAATTGTCAACAAAGGAATCCTCGGCGGGGGAGTACATAGATCGATTTGCGTGTGATCGGTGAGCGAGAGAGAGGTCGAGAGTCAAGTCAGCGTTGTATCTGGTGTAATGAGAGAGAGAGAGAGAGAGAGATTGCGTAACGCGCGGTGAGAAAGCTTTTTACCGGATTAGTTAACTGCGCCCATCGTAGCCTTATACTCCGAGCTCCGCGGGACTCATCACGCGAAGGAGCGACGTTTATACTTCCGCACGAGATCTAGAGCGTTGTAATTCCATTAATAGCACTCGACTCCGAAGGAACGAATATATTTGAGACCGCGCGGTATAATGCGCCGTTCCTTCCCGCGCGCATACATGAATGTATTATATCGACCTTCGTTATATATATATACAGGATATATAAATAGCCCGCAAATTGATATCATTACTTTCACGGCACATCTCTCGCCGTCCAATTCGCCCGGTTTGCTCCGGTTTGCCGCTTTCGACGCGCGCGACCGACGAGGAGACCGCATTGTTAACGGCGCGGGGACTCGCACGTTATACGGCACCGCATGCGTGCGCGAAATCAATTATCGATATTTCCGGATATCTCGGCCTCCTTTTCCACGCACCATCTCGAAACTTGTTGAAATGCATCGCGGCGGGCGCGCGCAAAATTATCGTGCGTTTATCGGATTGCGTATATGCATGCAATTTGCCAATGTATAATCAGGTTAAAAAGAAAATATAATGTACATATAGATTTTAATTCGAAAGTTCCCGCGTGTCCGCAATGTTAACGATTTATTTCCTCACGCAGTTTTAGCTTTTCTTCTGTGAAATTACGTGATAAACACGGAGTGAGTATAACATTGATTCCGATTAAGCAGAAGCTTTTCTCAAGCGAGTGAGATCTTGTTGAAATCTTGTAAAATTTATCCGCCTGCGGTTTTACAGAGATAGGGTAATTACGGTAAAATATACGCCGCACCTATTAAAAACTTAATTTATCAGGTTAGTTAATTATTATTAATTATGGTAATTAAGGTAAATGAACTATATATCAGTAAAAACTTTAGACTGTCTACTACTGAATGAAAAAAAATATTAGGAATTCAAAATATTTATTTTTTATATTAAAAGAAATAAATTCTTTAAACCCATGCATTTTTGTCGTATAAAAATATGGGTGGGTTGTAGGGCTACACTCACGGGTGAAATGAATGACTCAAAAAATATACAAATAATCTGAGCACTTGTATTTTGCTATACTCTATCCTTTACAATTCCTCTACACTTATGCACCACAAAATAATTACGAAGCCTTTTATATTTCCTACAATAAATAATCATTTTATGTATAGGTTATAATTTATGGTTACGCGCGCTTATTATAGTGATAAATCGATTTAATATACAATAATTTTATAAATATTAACAGTAAAAAACTCTGAAATCATAACACAATACTAATATAACATAAAGGTATGTAACAGAGTGGTTGCGAGAAAATTACTTTCACTTCTTCCATTTTTTCCTGACTTCTGCGGCATAAATCCCCGCGCGGCGTATATATATCGGAGTTACCCTATACTTTTTCTTATTGTTACACGACTCATCCGGACGATAAAATATAGGCACGTAGATCTCTCTGTGCGTGTATGTGTGTATGCGTGTGAGTATTCGAGATGTGGACAGGCATTCTTTCTCTTCCCGTAGACTCGGCTATAGCTTACTCTCTAAGGTACAATCGATTTGACCAATTAGGCAGCCCGTAAAGCCGACTCCGAAAGCCGAAAACAAGCGCGCAGCTTCGTTCGGCGGAGCGTGCGTATGTATATCGTTGCGATCGAGTGGTAAAGATAAGCAAAAAAAACAAAAAAAAAAAAGGAAAAACAGAAATGGTTAGTTACGACATGCGCAATCATGTTCGCATTTTGTATCGAATAAATGACATTTTCTCCACACTCGTCCTCGCACGATTCTCTCTTGCTAGCTGTAGCCGTACTACCTCACCACCCGCGGCTCCCGAAACGACCGACGGCGGATATTGAAATACCCGCGGTACCGAACGTTTTTCGCACCACCCCCCCGGAGCCACTTCGGCGATTCACGGGACGAGAAATCGCTCGTCCCGATCGCCCCGGGCGAGAAATTGGCTTAAACCAGATTTCCGTGATTAGCGCCGCGGGCTGCGATTTGTCGATTATCACTTCCCCCCTCCTCCCCCCCTCCCTCCCGCCCTTTCCCCCTCCGGCGAAGTACTCTATCTTATTGGTTTGATCGATAACTCGTTAGTTGAATTTTCTCAGATATTAATCGCGCTTCGATACGGGTGGGATAGAAATAGTCGCTCGTATAACGAGATGAATGCGATACGGGTCTCATGCGCGCGTCTCATTAAATTTTCGGGAAAACCTCCATTGAAGCAATTTCAACGGCGGAGGGGAGGAAGGGGAAGGAGGGGGAGGAGGAAGCACACTTTCGGTCTCGTGGTTACAAGCAAAACAATAAAACTTGACTAGAAAACGCACTAGATATTTAATTAAAAGTTTATTTGACGTTTAATCGGCGTTTAATTGATGTTTAATTGACGCGATGTTTAATCGACATGATTGACATTTGGAAAATGGGAAATGTACTTTCGTAATTAATATTGACCTTTTGCGTCTCTCGTGCGTTCTCCGGGGGGGTTTTTTTTTTTTTCAATAAGACAGAATCAATACGCGTTACTCGATGATATTAAAAGCCATAGAAAATCACTTTGTTACTCGAAAACTAATACAAGTTTTGAGTTCAATAAAAACTGAAACAAAGGGACGTGAATGAGTTTTCGTTGTCCGATTGAAAGCGACGACTCACAGAAATATAGATATGCCCGAGAGGTAGCCGTGGTTAAAAATACGGCGTTTATAAGTACGCTAGGATCTTCTTTTAGCTTGATAAAACTTAATAGCTTATATTTTTTATGCGTACTCCGTACGTAAAATTATTTACCTCTTCAAGGCTCTTTAGCAAACTTTTAACTTACTTTTAATTTACTTTGAATTTTACGTTTTTCTCCGAAATAATTACACTTTCGAGATAAGTAGCTATTTTGTGGTACACTTTCGAACTACGATAATTATAATTCTCGTTACGCAATTATATAGTGCACATATTTCGCAAACCAGAAAATCAACACTTCGGTGAAGCAAACTGATCTCTAAAGTTCACGATCGATATGCAATTAAAGACCTTATACGACAACAATGTTGATCCACAGCGTGGCCAAACATGTGATGTTGATGGTGTAAATTTGTTGTTCAGAATCTGCAACTCGAAATAAACTCTTGGGACATGCGCCGGTAATATGAGAGAGTTTTTGTAGCGCTACGCAAATAAACGTAATTTTCCCATCACTTTAACTTGAGAGTTCATTCTCTCCGTTTTTACGAAATATGGGTAGTAAACTCACTGTTGCCGTCAGGTCTTCAATTAATTAAGGTCCTAATTTTCTTAAGACCTTAATAAAGGACTTTAAGACTCCTTTTTAAAATTCAGGTCTTAATTTTACGTTATTCATCGTCCACTTTCTCATCTTGCTTCACTCACGATTTGTCTTAGCGAATATAGTTTCAGCTAACCTGAAACCTCTCGGAGGAGGATAAATAGACAGGCATAAGCATAAATATTAATTTTACTTGCGACATGTATCATGTATGAAAATTTCCCGCGGGAGACTTTCGGTGTGAGTTTTAAGACGGCTGTTCAACCTCTGCGATCTAAAATTTACGCCACACGAAAAACGATTTACGGCTCGCGGGATGTTCGAAAGAAAAAAGAAAAAAAGAGAGCCATCGCCACACACATTGACAGCGGTTTCGGTTTAGGAGAAGGGCGTAAATGCACTATACGTGCACATTCCACTGTCGTGGAATGTTTAATTAAACTCTGACGAGAGGGAACTTGGAGAATTCCGGACGCCGCGCGACACACACTGGAGGTCTCTATACGTCATACAATTTGCATCTTTGCAACGTACGTACGTAGTTAAGGCGATATTGGTTTTAAAATTCTATCCCGCGCGTGTTTTTATGCGAGACGCAGCGCCGTTTTCCTCGGAAGACTGTTATTACGGAAGAATCTGATATTAGAATATTGAAAATATTACTTAAGCGTAAAGTGAACATTTCTTATCTTTACAAGCGGCGTTTTAAAAGTGCAGTTAGAGGGACATGGAAAACGCGGGAATAGTAAAAATCTCGCTTTTCAATACCTAATACGTAATACGCTATTAATTACTAATTTTCTATTAACAAAATTGCTAATACGACTGCGCGTAATTAATATTCGTATATATTAATATACGTGTGACGTATAACATAGAATATATATTAATATATTTCCCCATTTATTGGAATAACAGTTAAATAATTAAATGACACAAAAAGCCACTTTGAGATATTAAAAAATATTAATGAGCTATTAAGACATAAATAAGTATACATGCATACATGCATCTAAGATACAAATTATCGCGATCAAAAAAAGTGCATTACAATTCATATAAATATAAATAACTTGCTTTAACTTTTTATGATTCTTTGATATATCGCATGTTGCACGAGTAATGTGAGATCTGAGATTGATACATTTGAAATTCAAAGCGTGGCACTTCGAACGAGCAGCGCGTATTTTCGCGCAATTTTCGCGCTTGATTAATTTTCCACCGCGTTTTACGACGTGACTGCGGATTACGTAAGAATGCTGAAATCCAGGTTAATAAGCATTTGGGGGCACAAACAGAGCGTCGCGTTTCGAGAAGGCAGCGCGTATTTTCGCGCAATTTCCGCGTTTCGAGATCTCGTTTGTGACCCTTTTCCCCCGTTTCGCGCGGCGCAGCGGGAGGGGGATTGAATTGCTAAACCCGCCAGGCAATCACCCTCCCTCGCCAACGCGCATGCACGCCGTTTACCCGGCATCGACCTCCTATATAGAACCACGCGTTACGAGAGCGCAAGCGTGTTGGCCATTACACGCGCCTGCTGACCGCGACGAAAATACATCTCGCTGGAGTACGAGTCAAAACGTGAATGGACAGCAGAACGCTGGTGGTAGCGTGGCCGTGCGATAATCGATAACACCGTTTCCCCGGTTTTTTTTTTCCTTTCCATTTCGGTACGGAGATAACGCACGCGACGTACGCTTACGCGAGTTACGAGCGGACCCGACGGGCAGTCGTAAACCAAGCGCGAGCCCGCAGGGAAGGCCAGCGTTACGAACGTGCGTGTCATGGTCTTCCTCTTATATAAGCACCGCCGCCGCGGAATTACACAGTAGTGTCAGTGCATCCGTCCGTCACGTAGCGAGCGTCCGCGCATGGAGTAGACAGCCGCTCGTTTCTGGTATCTCGCGTACTCGAAACACGAGTGGGATCCGCGCCGCCGCGGCTAACTCTCGACGCGAAATTTACAGAGCTAACTTAAAGTAAACGCAACGAGACGGTGTAAAGGTACGATGGAGGACTGGAGATGATCTACTTACATTTGTGTCAAATCCACGAGCTTGATAAGGTAACTGCGACGAAAATATTCGTCGTATTTCGAGGAGACTCAGTAAATTGATTGTTTTATTAGAATCACGTACTCGTATATAATTTTTGAAAGCAGGAATTGATTTTATTGGAAGTAGATAAGAAAGAAATTAAATAAAAACAATTAAAGAGTTACTGAATATTTTAAAAATATTTTTCTTCGTCGAATTTAAAAGAAAAATGATAATATATCAGAAGATGAAAAAAATATCTTACTTAAAATATAAAAATCGTTCCATTAGCTATTAAAATTAATAGTTTTGTATTTAATATTTTTCTAAATATTTTTATTACGCAATCAAATTTTATAGAATAAATATTTTTATAGAAATTTTAAAAACAATTTTCTAATTTGAAACATCACATATTCAACTTTAGAAGAGATGCCTGTCTTTTTTTTATGTATTTAAACTCATCTGGTATGCTTCTTTTTCAGAAGGATTGCCTCACAAGAAGAGCGTTTTTATGAGCATCGTTAAATCGATTTCGCGATGACGTGTCATTGCAATGTGGTTTGAATCGCATTTCCTACTACGATATTGCGAATTGCTTCTTGAGATAGCGAGTCGACCGTCGCGGTCGTGTCGTGTTACACAATTCGCAAGACCGATATAACTCGCCTTGGGAAGCACCGTATAAAAATGAGTGGCGGCGGGCATAATGGAAGAAACATCCTTACGTACGACACGCTGGTGCACGCGATATCCGGCGCGGCGGTGAGTTTACATTTAACACGTCGAGAAATCTTACACGTGCTTTACCTCCCGCCCGCGCTCTCCCCCCGCCCCCTCCCCGCAATGCCGTGGAATAACTTTGACATTTCGACATTTTCAGGGTAGTGTGGTCGCGATGGCAGCCTTTTATCCCTTAGATACCGTGCGAAGCCGTTTACAATGTAAGCCAAGCGCCGAGCCGTCACATATCCGCGTAATGTCGGATAACGTGACAAATCAATTATGCCGCTCGTTTCCTCCGCGGCGCATTGAAACGGAGGCATCGGCAAGCAAGCCTTCAATCTCATTAAACGCGATGTCACTCCCGGACAATATCCTCCGCTATACTTTATTGTCATGATCTTCGTTACCATTAACGCTTGCGCAACACCGATAACATTAAACTGCAAAATGCATGCAGTATATCTCATTGCTATTTCAATCGATGCTTTACACTATTCAAGCATATGTTTTATAGCTTCATTTTTTTATTCATGCAGACATTCATTTAAATAATGCATTTGAACGTCTCATGAATTGACACATAATTTCCGTGTTGAATTTTATATGAGAGACAAAGCAGCGAATAATTTTTTTTGAAACGTACGTAAAGCGAGTTTTATGTATGTAAAAAAAATCTGAAATTTATGTCAAAATGCAAAATAGAAGTTTAACTAAGTAAAATTGTATAGTTTAACATTTATAGTTTTTGTATAGTTTAACATTTATAGTATTTGTATAGTTTAACATTTATGATTCTGTGTGTGTGTGTGTGTGTCGTACAAAACATTTTCAAAAAAAGAAAATTAGGGGACACGCATGCATAAAACATATATTAAAATTGACACGCATACATCAAAATACATATAAAATAAATTATAAGTAGAATCTTATAAAGCCGGATATAAAGCGAATTGTTGGTTGCCTATCAACTGGACTTAACATGCAGAATATATATATTATTATAAAACATATATTTCGTGTTAATATTAAAAATACTGTAAAAATATTTTCATTATTATTTCAAACGTTAAAATGTATAATATGTATATAATATTATATATTTTAGAAATTTGCGTAACAATAAGGGCAATAAGTTTTCCTTTGTAAATCTTATAACGACGCGTAGAAAATAACAGTGTGAATGATAAGTGAATTGAATTGATCATGAATTACAGCGATCCATGAAAAATCACGTAAAAAAAAACGGCACTAGCTCATGTTGTCAAAAGTTGTGGCACGCATTTATTTCTCATTGTAATTATTCACACACAACTTTCATCGCTCATTCAATAATCCTCTTTAACGAACCTGTTCTTCTGCTTACAGTGGAAGAAGGACGTCAATCGAAAGGTACTTTGGCGACCATACGAGAACTCGTTGCGAAAGAAGGACCGTACGTATGCTTTGTCAAATATTGTGCTTTCTCAAACCTTCATTCCCCCCCCCCTCCGCCCCTCCCTCCCCTCTTCTTACCACGCACAAATGAATGAAACGCGTTTGTATTACGAGCTACGACAAACATATATTGAGAAACCAGTTTCTTCTTGGTAAACAGATTCTATAGCACAAAGACGTGGATAAGAAGTTATTTATTCCGCGTTATCCATATATTTTTAAAATGTGCGCATACACTTAACTGTTGTCCGTCTTTTCAAGGTACACCCTGTACAGAGGTGTCGTCCCCGTTCTGCAGAGCCTGTGCGCGAGTAATTTCATTTATTTCTACACGTTCCACGGCTTGAAGGAGCTGAGAGGCAAAAGAAGTCAAACGGCCGGCAGCGACTTGCTCCTCGCGTCAGTCGCTGGTACCGTTTTCTCAACGGAATGACTCTCGTCAACCTATAATAACACATGTGTTTAGCGTAGTAAAATCCAAATTCGCAAGCAAATAATTCTTCGCAATTCTTCGCAAATAATCGGAGCGCTGTGAAAGTTGTTTAGTCACAAGCGATTGGAAAAAGATAGAAAATAATCAAAATAAGATAACTAATACAATTGGAATTATATTTCTCGATTTATCTGAGGTATATATTTTATTTAACTAAGAAGAATTTTGATAAGAGCTTTAGTTACGAAGATACGTAAACGTATTAATAATATTGAGAGATTAGATTGTATTGAAGAATTAACAAATTGACAAGAGAGAAGCACGCGTTTAATTAAATATTTTTTCAAAAACATATATACTCCAATTAAGTGGAAGAATTTTGCTACGTGTAACATTGATAAACTCTTAAGACATTCTTATATCTGTGCGTGTTTGTATCAGGTGTTATCAATGTCCTCACCACGACACCCCTGTGGGTTGTAAACACGAGATTGAAGATGAGAGGACTCACTCCAGAACGGAATAACAACGAATACACTACTCTATGCGGTACGTATCTCATTTTCGTACGAAAATCGTTCACGAGCTATCATTTTAGATGATAGGTAATGACTTTTATTTTTGATTACTTCTGTATCTTCAACATTGGCGATTCCAATCACGCTCTATTTAAATGTCAAACAGTACTGCATATTGAACGTAACGATATTAATGCATCGCATATATACATATCCTCTATTGTACATAATACATGCACCGTACGTGTCAACATGTGCATTCGTAGAAATACGCTTTGCTTCACATGTCACTCATTTGCTTTATCATTTAAAGCAATAAAATTGTGATAATTAATAAGCGCGCATGACATTGCGTTATCGCGAATAAATAAATCACACGTAGATATAATAAATTATGAATTCATGAACTGAATATATTATCAATAATATACTTAAAGAAGTCATTTTTTTTCTTATTTCTCATTATCATAAAAAAATGTAATCACCCATTTTACATATATGCCAATTAACATAAAAATAACCTTGAGCGACGAATGATTAGTATGTTCGAAAATCGTATAAACAGCGTATCTGCCAGGTAATAAGTTCTTGAAAATTGCGACAAACAATTTTTGGAGATTCATTAGAGGAAATAATTATTTTACATAATCTTTAAACAATTTGAATACACAAATTTAATTTCGAAATTAATAATTTCCTAAATCGAAGATTTATTTTCGAACGCGGAGTTAAATCAATCTTAATTGTTAGGTTGCCACTTTCTAATGTCGTGTTTCACAGACGGTCTCGTGCACATATGGAAGTACGAAGGTTTGAGAAAGCTGTGGGCGGGAACGATGCCGAGTCTCATGCTCGTCGCGAACCCGGCCATCCAATTTATGACGTACGAGAGTATTAAGAGAAGAGTCATCGCATCTCTTGACGGTGTCCAACCACCGGCATGGGTATTCTTTATTATTGGAGCGATAGCGAAAGCGGTTGCCACGTCGATAACATATCCTTTGCAGCTTGTGCAAACGAAATTAAGGGTAACGAATATCATTGACGTTCTTAGTCTGTTTGTGAAAAAAAATAAATAAATAAATTCAAGTAGAAAGTATCGCGCGATATTTAATCGCTAAATCGTTGTGATTTCAGCATGGGGACAAATATCCTAATCTACCTCCAGACGCAGGCACGTTGCAAATATTGTTTTACATTCTGAAGTAAGTATACATAATAGTGGATAATACTATATGAATATACGTACTTATTTTAATTATATACTTATTTTATTTGTACTTATTTTTCGTCGTTGCAATCTCTAAAAAAGTTTTATACTGTAAGTATAACGTAATTTTTGTACGCAGGAAGCAAGGATTAAGTGGCTTGTATAAAGGGATGGAGGCCAAACTTTTACAGACTGTCCTCACTGCCGCTTTGATGTTCCTGGCTTACGAGAAAATCGCACGATTTGTTTTCCGAATACTTTTGCATAAACCCCATCTCAGATAACGATGCATTCCCAATAACATTATTACGAAACGTACTTGAGTCTCGAATCTTAAATCAAATTTTATACATTCCCACGCATATATATTCTTTATATAAGTTCATGGACAAAATATAAAATGGAATTGAATTTATTGTATATTATACGATAATCTTGTGTTTAAAAGAATTAATTTAATTAATCTAGTTAATGTTACTTTTTTTCAATGTTTACCATATTTTTAATGGATATTTTACAATTTTGTTACATTTATTGGACATACTTCATTTTAGATAAAGCGAATTATAAATTTTGTAATATATACTATCCACAGATTTCTACAGAATATGTAGAAATCTGTGATACTATCAGTATATTTCAGAACATATCGAATTAATTAAACAAAATACAATCAAAATATTTCGATTATCGAATTGACATTGAATCTACAGACATTTATTGTATAGATATTATTGTGTATAGTATATAGATGTCTGTGATCAAAACGCATAAATTTATTGAATCTAATAACGTCAATAAGAAACGGCTATTCGAGCGTTAGATTTTCTAGAAATACCCAAGAAAAATGTAACCTTGTGTGATACTCGTATGAGATTCTGGCGAGTTCACAAAAATCACAGCGAAGCTTTCGGCCGCAATTTCGGTATAAATTGAATCACTTGGTGACGCCGCTTCTGCGAACGCATAAAGTAAACGATGGACAGCGAGACGAAGTCGTTGCGAAATATGTAAATGTCACCGCGCGTCGCGAAAACTCCCTCAAGATCGATCGCAAACGATTCGAGGCAGTATTAAAACTTTTGACCAAACTTAAAATACGCAAGTCGTCGAAGAGTCAAGTGCGGTCTAACGATTGCAAATCCGTAACTTCCAAGGAAGTATTTGCTGCAAGTGAAACAAGGCACGTGCATTTTTATCGTTGAAAATAGAAACGTAAGAGTGCATTGAATTTTCTTTGCGAACGAGATATTCGTGTTAATAATGATTCTCAAATACGAGAATATTCCTATTAATGAATTGAAATGGATACATAATTATACATTTATATAATTAATTTCAATATTACTAGACTCTAATTTGTTAAATCATTATTATTTCTAATAAACTATTATATATAAAGAGGTACATAAATAAGTAAAAGATAACGATAATAAAAATTTAGTTATAGCATTAGTCATGCTGGAGACACGATGAATCCATCGCCGCGCCGCAATACATGCGACAATGTGGTCAATAGAAAATCGATTAAATCAACGGTTGTTGCAAAATGTAAACCAGAGCCGAAAACGCCTGTCTACGATTACGAGGCAGCTATCGATCGGCCCGACATTCTGAAAGACTCAAAAATCGATAATAACACGCAGAACGTGAGTTGGTCGGAGCTGAGTGACAAATTGTCGGCGCCGACCAAGAAAAGAAACCTTTACGTTCGCGGGCAAGTCGGTGTGATTACTAAAAAAAGAAGTATTGTTTTTAAATCGAAAAAACAAGCAAAGGAGATCGCACAAATTCGACCGTCAATCTGCGACTTTGCTGAGATTGCAGAAAAAGAATCGACACCTTTCTCAGAAATTATTCGAGACGTTGAAAATTATGGAATGAAAAATAGCGACGATGTAACTTCGAATCGCCAAACGTCACTTAATCAAGTTCATTCTGACACAATTTATACTTTAAATTTACTTTAAATTAACTAACTCTGAAATTATATTAATCTGTGATATGTTTGGAAGGATTTAGCGCATTCGAGAAATATTCAAAAGGAATCAGAAATTGCAGAAAATGTCAACAATATTGCAAATAAAACTACCGATGTATTTCGAGAAAATTTTAGTAAAACTGATAAAGATATAATATGGTGCATCTCTCAAAATAAGACTAGTAAAATTCCACGCCTAAAACCGAATTCCTTTCTCTCTATATGTGAAGCCTCTTGCATTCATCCGGTAAATTATATATATTTATTTATTCGATTAGACTGTTCATATATATTTTTATTTTAATACATACATCGTTAAATTATTTTAATTAACAGAGTGCAAAATTGTCAGTCAGGAATAAATTAAAGTTTTCCGAGGATTTAAAATCACCCGTAGACATTAAAGATGAAAAATTAATATTTGAGTACGTGAGTAAAATAAAAATTTTTATATGCAAGATAATTGTAACAATGAATAACAATTATATTTAACAATTATATTTAAATCTCTATTAAACACAAAAAATTAATGGCCACTAAATAATTTGTTTTTATTTAATTTTTGGTTATAAACATTAATAAATATATTTTCAAATAATTATTTATTTCTGATATTTTTATTCTACTTATTTTATTAGATTAATTTTTAGTCTATTGGTATAATAAATAATACGATAGCTTTCTTGTATAATTTACAATATAATTAAATAATTTATAATTACAAAAGAACTCTCAAAATTAGAAAACAAAGATTAATAATAGAATAATAAGAGTACAGTGCAGTATCTTGCTTTAATTTAGACTTGTCATTGAAAAAAAACAGACTGATTGATTTAAATATAGCAGAGTAACGACTCGATTCGCACTCAAGAGTTTGAGAATATATTCTCTTGCTAATGATT